TATATATATATATATATATATATATATATATTGATGTAAAAATGTCGAAATATATTTTGAAGAAAAGTGCAATTACATATTTCGCAGATTTGCATTACATTGAAATATATTAATTGTAAGTCAAAACAAATAAAATATCTCATCGTAAAATGTTCATTTTTCAACAATTTTATTTTCATATTTTTACAAATAGAATAATGAGGATTTATATATATAAATAATAGAAATAATTTTGAAATCTCGGAGATAATTCTATGCAGAATAAAAATTGCCTATAAAAATTTCTCTCGAAAAATTAAAACAGTTTCTATTGAAAACGTTTTCCCAAGGTAGATTTGTTATTTTCAAATTATTTATTATTTATCTGCTCATTTATTTAGATTTAATTTTAAATGGAGCGTGTAATAAATTGAAAGCAACGAGATGTGTGAATATAAATTTTTGTTTGAATTGCAAAAAGGAGTAAATGCGCTTTCTGGCCTCGTAGAAAGCGGAAAGTAAAGCTGAAAAGGCGTATTGCGAGGTACAAAAATTCCGCGAGCACTGGCCAGAGCGCTCCGGTGAATGTAATAATGATCTCCGTCAAGCTCTCGAAACGCTTCGAGAAATGCCTCGCAGCCGTAAGAACGATCCGTTACGTATGTTTATTCACGAGCACGAGAAGTGGAAGGCTCGGAGCTAGAACGTTTACTATATAAGTATTTTAGATAATCACAGCGTATGCGATTCCATAGTTTACGATATACTATATATCTATGTTTTCTAAATTTTCGAAAATTTAATTTCAATTGCTCTTCAATGGAAACTAATTTTTACCTCGACTCAAATCTTTCTCAAGCAGTGCTTAAAATGGAGATAAATATACGTGGAAGATGTTTAGACTACATAAGGAATATAATTATGTCATCGCACAGATGGATCCGCGATCATAAGCTTGCGTTGACCCAGATTTTATTTGCTACAATTAATTAAATGCGTATAATTGAGAACAATATTTATATACAGTTTCATGTGGGAAACGTGCGAATGATTACTTTCATATCATTGTTCAAAGCTAAATTTTCTTGTATAGAGAGCTTGAAAGATCATTAGATAAATTGTCACGCTATTACCATCTTTAATGTGTATATCTTTTATTATATATATATATACGCTCACGTATATACAGAATCATATTTTAAAGTCACAGCGGTAAAAAAAAGTTTAGGGAACAATTGTTCCAGCAAAAAGTTTCAATATAATGCAATTTCAAATAAAACCATATGAAGATATAAATACACATATAAAATTTTTACATAAATCAATTTTCTTGATATTGCATAAAAAAAATTAATGTTATTTAAAAATAAATAATTTACAAGAAATATTTCATCATTTATTTTAATATAAAATATAAAATATTTTATAAGTTATTTATTTTTTATGAATTCTTAGTATTCTTCTATAGACAAAATGAGAGAGAGCAACTGATCTAAACAAAAGATGTTAGAAGATTTTATTTTAAATTAAACTCATTTAATTTCTTATTTTTCTTCTCCTTATTTCCCGTATCACCAATAAAATATTATAAATAAGACAAATTGTGTCATAACTACATATATGTATACATATAAAATGATATATAATTTAGTTATCTATGATATTAAATTTGTTTTGTTACTTATTTAATTTACAAGTGAGAATTATAGAATTTTTGCTTTATTTTCAGATAACTGTGATCCTGCATACGTTGCCAGCCGGATCAGCGATTACCACATTCCACAATCTGCTTTGAATTCGACGCAACTTTAATATTAATCCAACAGTTACATTTAACCTATATATTACAGCCTAGTGAGGATGTAGTATAAAGTAGTATTTTAACGCTGATCTTATATAATTCCAAAATATTTGAAAAATAAAGCAGTTGATTATCAACGATAATCAACAAGAATTGAATCTTTACTTTTTTACTGTATATAAAATATATATACGCCATATATAAAATGTATAAAATTAAATAAATCAAAAGAATATATGAACGAAAGGGATCAATGAGATTTTATATATGAAATCATTATCACTACAAATTAAATCAACGTTATATAAAGATATAAAATCGACAAAGCTATGCTCAAAATAATAACAAGTGAAAAATTTTAGAAATTTTATAAGTCGACTGTCGTCAATTAAGATATTTCCAGATTCACTTTGAGTTTTAAATAATAATTTTAAATCGCAAGTGAGTAGTAATTGCCGACAGAAAATTATCTTGAGCGAAAGTGATAATTCGATGAAATTCTTACAATAAAAGTCAGTGATTGATTTGATCGAAGAAAATCATGGAAGAGACAGCAACGATCGCGCTTGACTCTACGGTAAGAAGTCAAAATTCGAGTCACTCGAAGGAATCGAAGGATTCAGTGAACTCGGAATTGAAGCCAGAGAGTTATCTAGAATCAAAACACTCGAAGGATGTTCTTATATCGGAAAAGCAACAGCTGCAACAGCAGCAGCTATCAAGATGCGAGGGTCAACAGGATCTGCGAACGGCTGCCGAAAATAAGGACGATTCGAATTTATTGATGTTCACATCCTGCGGACAATTACTTCTCGGTAAGCCGAGAGAGCTTTTTATTAATTCCACTGATTATCACGCTGATATTATTGATATTATTTTTGTATAATTAAAGACATTTTTTTGTTGGATAAATATAATGTCGAATATATCGAAATGACTTCTTTCAAGTAATTTTGGTAATCATATTTTGAAAAAATAAAGTTGTAAAAATTAAGAACGTAATATAATTTGTTCGTTTGATCTTGCAGGTATTGTATTGGTTGTCTTTGGTATCTTGGTGCTCGTCCACGGAGCTTCCTTAGGTGGATCTGGTGCAGGACTCTGGGCAGGTGCGGCTGCCTTGGTTGCCGGTGCACTTGGAGTGGTCGCGACATTAGCGGCGTCCTCCACCAAAACAAATTCTGCTTTCTCTTCTGCTCATCTCGCGTCTAGTTTGATTGCCCTTGCCCTCTCGAACATGGCCACTATAACGGCACTAACGGCGGTTGTCAGGGATTCGCAAAGAACACCGGAAGTGTCGTTTCTCAGCCTTTCGGTACATTTTTTATAACTCTCAACTATTTAATATTCAAATATGTGATATTTTGAAAAGGATAGTTCTAATAGTTTCTAATTTAACTTTTTACTCCAAATCGAGCCTTTTCATTAGTCTCAAAATAGGGCAAAATTTTTTGAAAAATGAAAATTAAGAAAAATAATTTCTTTTTATACTACCTTTTATTTTTAATGTTTATTATTGAACTGAATTGGTATAATTGTAAATATTATTGCGTTGTGGATTAGGAATTTCAATATATGTTTCAGGGTGATGATAGCAATGTGATGGAAGTAGATAACGGTTTGGCAGGCTTACTAGCGAGCATCGGCTTATTGATAGCTAGTGTGGCAGAGCTATTAGTATCCGGTTATAGCTGCCTAACTTTGACACCGAAGTTATGTAGTTGTCTACGGTCAAACAGTGCTGATGAAATAATGAGCGATGGTCTGAAGACGCGCAATATGGTTCATCAATGGGTCATCACGCAGAATCATACCATGCCGACTAAAAACCAACAGTCACCTATTTACGTCGTGCATCCAATGCCAGTGCCGATGCATCCAATGATTCAGGTAAGTGTCCTCAATTTCTTTTCCCATGGCCTCAACTTCTGATTCAAGATTCAATTTTTTTTAATATTTTCTCTGATACCATTTAATTTATGGAAATAATAATTCAATATTCAATTATATCTGTGCATGTGTCTAAAAAGATACAACTGTATGAAATTAATAGAGAAAACATTTATTATAGTCACCATACGGCATATCACCGGCGCCCGGAGGATTTGTACCTAGATCCTTTCCGATTTCGACGCCAATGCCATATGGTGCTGTGCCCATGTTGTCCCATATGTCTCCCATATACTCTGGACGTCCTCAATCTGAAACGGTGAGCTTTTGAATTATATAATTTGATTTCAATAAATGATAGAAAAGGTGTTTAAATAAAAAATAACGAAATTAATACAATTAAATAAAAGGTATTATAAATATTCATACTTTTTGACATAGACTTTTTGTATTTTAACTTATATGCAAATTAGTTTGTGTATTAATTTATTAAAATAATTCTTGTTTAATATGTATTTATATAGTTTCGACCAAAGCACAAACGTCAGCAGTACGCAGATCAGGGGGAAACAAGAAGACATACTGAAATTAAAAACGAGTCTCCAAAGATGTCACTAACTAATGAAGATCCAGTTGATTTAGCACAGACTTATACAGGGTTGGATAAGAGAATTTCCGAGGAATTTATTTCGATTGCGATGGATCCTGATAGAAAATCGAAAGTTTCCAGCCATCACGGCAGCGAAATTGGGACTACAAAAACTTTTTGATGGCTTTCAATTTCAGCAATGAAGAATTTGATTAAAAAATGAAGGATTTGCTCACGATTTATATCTATTTCATATTTAGGATGATTTTGTATTTAAGAAAACAAAATATTAAGTCTTATATTAAGAACTCAAATCAATCTTGCATACTTGCATTAAGTATTTTAATCTCAAGTATATTAAAGTTTTATCTGTCGAATGTAATGAGATTTCATTGTAATTATCGCTTTTATTTGCAAGAATTTATAGAACGAAATGTGCAATTTAGAAAAATGAAAATCGAATCATCATTATTAATGGATAAAATAATATAATGCTAATTTCTTATTGTAAATCTTGGGCATACTAAATCTTATTTTATTATATTTATTATATTTTTTCTTTAAAATAATATATATATCTACAAAAATACTATTTATTTATGTGCTATAAAAATCTTTGATGAGAAATGAAAGTTGAGTTGTACTGCATTAATTTGTTAAATAGAATTAGAAATAATACTTTATCTATAATTAAAATACATAATAATATATTTTTATTTTTTAATTGTTTGTTTATGTTATCTATTTCAATTTTATTGAGATAAAGATGTTATTCATTTAAACTATTAATGTACAATTACAGTTTACTTATTCATATTTTTATGTTAATTTAACACAGCTTTTGTATATGCATGTGTAATATATTTTGTTATGTAACATAATATGAAATAAATTTTTAATTAAAATTATTGTATTCTGAAATAATATAAAAACTCCAAATTTATTAGTAAGTGAATTGGAATATTATCTCATAATACATACGGTCTTGAGAGTAGAAGAAAAAAGATAATTAGAATTAAAATCTAAAGTATAGCTCAAATAAAAAATAAGTTTCGATATTATCGATACAAATATTTGTTTTAATTCTGTTTCTATATAATTATTATAGAACAAAATTAAAAACAAAATTAAAACGGATATTTACAATCATATCGTCAATATTGATAATAAAGATAAAAAATTAGATAAATTTTACATTATTAATAACATTATTATCTTTTTATATAATACGATATATGTTAGATTTAAATATTCGAGATTTTTTTATATTATTAATGATTGTAATATACATGTATATTAATTTATATTATTAATACAATACTTGTTCGTATTAATTCTTCTCCTCATTTATGTTTCTATACAGAGAGAAATATTTGTTTAGACTTAATAAATTTTGATAATTATTTTTACAATTTTTGCAAAAAGCAACTCTATGTAATTTATATTACGTAATAAGTTAGACTGTAGCAACTTCATACGTTAATATTTTATAACCCTTTGTCAATAAAGATTTACAAGTAACATGTAGTATAAATAACATATTTATTTTATTTACTTTTATGCTTACATATCATGTTACTTTTATGCTAACATATCATGTTTTTGCGCATTTAAATATTTTTATCGTTTTCAAACTCCATAGATATAATATAAAAACTTTCTCAAAATTTAAATGTTTAAATTTAAACAACTTTAGATTACAAACTGAAAACATTTAATATTCTGTTTTATATCAAAATATTTAAAACTTATGAAATGAGAAATGCTATATATATTTCATATATAGAATTATATCGAAAAGATATTATTATTTTTCGTATTATATATATGTATTATAATTAAATGTTGAAAAATTCTAATAGTTTTAAGAAAGAATATTACATATAAAATCTCGCATAAAATAAGCTTTTATATATATATATTTATATATATTTATATATATTTTAATATATTTTATATATATTTCGTCTTTCCGAATCTATTCAATAATAAAATTATAATTTAATCAACATATTACTTAAAATTATTAAAATTATTACTCACTAAATTTTAATATAAATATACATAAATATAAATATCATTAATAACAATAGGCTTTATTTTAACAATAAATTTCACGTTATTATTAAACTGAAGTACATATTATTAGGTGAAAGCCAAATCAGTTTTTAAAAAACACAAGTACACGAAATAATAATGAAATTGATGAGATATTTGTGTTGGCATTTTCAGCAGAAACGAAGAATGATTTCTCGGGAACCTAACCGATTATTCAGAAAGGAAGAAAGATGTAACAATAAAGTTTCATTTTTGCCGTTTAACTAAAAAAAACTATTCAAAAAAAATGAAGCAAGATAATTTCCAAATTAATTAATAAAGCAAGAATTAATAAAGCAAAAAGTTTTAACATTTAATGTACATCTAAATTTATATTAATAAAAATTAACAACAACACTTTAGATTATGACAAATTAATAACAACAATCTACATTATGTCCACAAAAATAAATAAATAAATATCTCTTAACATTAAACTACATACTAATACTTATATCTTAGGTAGGTTTCAAACATTTTTCTCGACCTTTCAAACAGTCTTTTGGAATATTGTCATATGACAGTCATCCTAACATATTCAGTAATATACGCTCAGAGATATTGTGCAGAAGCAATGGAAGAAATACGGAACCAACTGTGGGAACATTATACCAAAATAAGTGATAATGATATAAAGTGTAATTATTGTAATAAAATTTATAAACATACCGGAAACATACATTTTAAACCGGCAATAAAAATACATTTAAATAAGCATAACATAAATATTTACGATGATTTAGTGTGGAAAAATACGAAAAATAAGTCTAATTTAATATGGCAATATTACATAAAAGGAGAAAATTATGCAACTGCAATATGTAAGATTTGTAAAACATTGATTAAACATGCTCATGTGATACAAAATTTAATAAAACATTTTTTGAGAAGACATCAAGAAGAGGTAACAAAAATACAAAAACCAATTTTAAACAGTTGGTTATCATCGCATTTCGCAGACATAAAAGATTGTATGGCGAGATGCATTCATTGCAATAGCAAATTGAATATATTAAATAGTATAGATGCCTTAACGAATCACTTACAAATCTGTCGTCATATAAATAAAAATCCAAGAAATGATAATCAAAATGTAGAAAATAACGTGAATATATTAATATCATTGAAATATTCATGGGCGTGGCAACATTGTACATCAATAAACAAAAATGAAATAAAATGTAACCATTGTGATAAAATTTATAAAAGTTCAAGCATTACAAGAGGAATTAAACAACATTTATATAATTTTCATAATTTATCAAATGGCAACGAGTGGAAAAATTCCGAAACGACTTACAACTTGTTATGGCAATATTTCACTAAAGAAGAAGGATATACCGCAAAATGTACTATTTGCAATCAGCTGATAAAGAATGCATATGTGGTATGTTTGACATTCCATTTGACAAGAAAACATAAACAGGAAGTAATAAATATAAAAGAAACGATTAAACGTGCCTGGTTAGTACGACATTTTGCTATCAGCAATAACAGTCATATGATAAAATGCATTCACTGCGATTGCAAATTGACGATATTTCTGGGAATAAATGGCTTAGCGAATCACTTACTAGTGTTCCATGGTATAAGTGACAGTACGCGAACTCAAAGAGAAAATGAAGAAAATAATGCAGACATAATGATGCAGCAATTAAACGACAAAAGCAGCGCAAAGAATGATTGTGCTATGGAAAATAAGAAAAGACAACGGTAAATGTTATCAACAGTATAAATTTATATTTTAAAAATGACTTACAAACGTACAATTGATATGCAATGTATTTTAAAAGTTTGATACTGACTTTTTTGTTTACCATTTGTTTACTATAATATTTATATAAATCTTAGTCAGTAATTCAACATGCGTGTTTTATAAATGTATAATGTTAAAAAGTATCTGCATTAAATCAAATTATTACAGAAACTTGTTAATTAAGATTTGCAATTATTTAATTAATATCTAGATATCGTAATAGATTGATTTAAAAATGATACCTGTCAACTAATTCACACTGTCGAAATGAGTTAATTATTTCAGTTAAAATATATTATATATTGTTATTAATTATCCTATAAATAATTGCAGATATTATCATGAATCAATTCAAGATCAGCCAATAATCCAGACGAGTACTTTGAAACAAATGTTGCGATCTAAAACATCAAATAATGACAATTTAACTCCAGATGCTCTAACATCTCAAAATATAAGTAAATATAAATAAATGTTTAAAGCTTGATGATGAAATTGGAAGAAATATCATAGATTTACGAATACAACATATGACAAATGAATCGAATATTGCAAGTTCAAGAGTTTATCGAGAGACATATCTGCGAGACACAGCCAGTGAAGGAGATCGATGGTAAAAATTCTATATCTTTATTGTTTTATCTTTCATATTTAATTCTTATACAATAAATTAATATAATGTGTAATGTGTATAAATTAAAAATTGTATATTCGTTATTCGTTTGTTCTCATATTTTAGTAAATATTTTAGTTAGATATTTTATGTGCGCGTTTTATTTATACAAACGCTAAGGATATTATAATTATCAATTTTATCGCTCAAAATGATTATTTAAAAAAGGATATAATAAATTTTCTTAATTTGCAATTATCTATTCTATAGCTAAACGTTTTGATTTCAGCGGATATATTTGTTATATTTGAAGGATATTTCAAATATTCTCAAATTCTACCAACATTAAAATAGACGATCAATTTATCAAACCTATAAATAATAGAATTTAATTTCAAACAAATTATCCAGTAGTTCACATAGTTAATATGTATCTTAATTGTTTCCAATAGTAATAGAAACGCAACTCTAGAATGTAGTGTTTTACGTTTTTCATTCATTTATATATAATTAAAGATTGCATTATGGAACGATTCAGAATCAGCGAACGGTAATGACAAGTGCTCCTCAGCAGATATTGCAAACTCATAATGCAACAAATGTTGAAGTTTGTCCTATGGACTATTTAGCATATTCCGGTACAAATAGGTATTCAAAATCTGATGAAGAAACTCGAAGAACTGCCAAGATAACGATGCAATTCTCGGTTAATCGGAGGAATAACACATGTTCTTATCAGGAGGATTCGCATTTGCCAGTCATAAAAAGTGAAATAAATCAATGGTAAATGTAAACTATATTTTCAAATTTTCAGTATTTAAAGAATAATATATACAAATTTCAATAAATTAATATTGCCTAAAGCTGAAATGTAATTTTATTTTAATATTCTATTACATTAATACATTTATTCTATGAATTTGCATTTAATTGCAGGTTATATTATAAAGCAATAAAAGAACTTGGAAACATTCATGACTGACGTCTTCAATATAGATGATAACACATCAATTAATTAGTAACACAT